AGGTTTCATTAATGCAGGCCTCCATCACAGCTGTTTCACTATTCAATGAGTGATTAAGTTGACTATTAAAAGCTAAAAGAAGCCAGTGCCCTTATACAAAGCCTGGAATGTAACAAAAGTCCATCAAGAGTTTTGCTTAGGCCTACCTGGGCCTTAATGCATGACAAAATAATGAAGGAGTTCTTAACAGTACCCATTTAGGGTTATATAAGTTTTATTGGGGCTCTGAAGAAACTCCCCAGACCTCCACAAACAAGTTTATTGGAGGTCTGAAGGAACTCCCCAATCCTCAGTGGTTTAACAGGAGACAAGATAATGGTGATCACCCCAGCCCCTAGAGACCCATTTAAATTCAGCAAACTTCATGAGACTCCAGAGGAAGGTCTTTGGGACTCAGATCTTAGTTACAAATTTGAAGAAGTGAATTACTTAAGTCTTTAAGATGAATGCACACTTACATACAGACATATAGCTTAGAAGGTATGTAAGTTCAGGCCGGGCGTGGTGGCTCAAGCCTGTAATCCCAGCACTTTGGGAGGCCGAAGCGGGTGGATCACGAGGTCAGGAGATCAAGACCATCCTGGGTAACATGGTGAAACCCCGTCTCTACTAAAAATACAAAAAAAACCTAGCCGGGCGTGGTGGCGGGCGCCTGTAGTCCCAGCTACTTGGAGGCTGAGGCGGGAGAATGGCGTGAACCCGGGAGGCGGAGCTTGCAGTGAGCCGAGATCGCGCCACTGCACTCCAGCCTGGGTGACACAGTGAGACTCCATCTCAAAAAAAAAAAAAAAAAAAAAAAAAAAAAAAAAGAAGGTATGTAAGTTCTGAAGAACTTTGTAATTTTGAGTTGGTCTGGTGATAATTTCCAGGCCTTCTGCCTGTAACTGGTTACAGAAATAAAAACTCTCTTCCTCCCCAGTTAATCTGCATCTGGTTATTGGGCCACGAGAAATAGCAGCCCGACCCTCAGTTTGGTCCAGGAACAGTCACATTGCGGACATTTCCAAGAGAGGCCATGGGGCACATTATATATGTGAACTTTCTGAATCCCAGCAGCCTGTTTCCAAATTATGGCTCTAGAGGATCAAGACTCGTTCACATCTTCCTTGCAGAAATGCACAGCAACTCTGTAGCTTTTAGAATTATTAACATTATATAGCCAAAATGCTTTGCCCAAAACACATGAGCCCATCATCTACACCTAGACTGTCAGCCTCATACCCCTTAATACCTGCAAAGACAGGCAGGTATCATCCATTGCATGAAGGAAATAATCTTTGTGTAGTTGGTCATCAATACTCTGAGTCCAAGGACAGTACAGGAAATGTTTTTATTGACAACATTCAATAATTTTTCAAATAGTGGAAAATCATTTCTGAGTAGGAAAATAATGTTTGCTTTTCCTTTATTCTGCCTCCTCCTCTTTGAGGCCCACTTTGCACTCTGACAGTACCTGGCGCCTAGTGCTCTTTACTCTTTATGGATTCTGATGTCTCCAATTGAAAAGCACAGTGGCCCTGTGAACCAGTTTTTCAGTGCATTGACAAGGCAAGGGGGATCAATGAATCTCTTTTTTTTCTTGCTATAACTTTAAGGAATCTCTTCTCTGGATCACCAACTGAATATGAGGATGGTATTTCAGGTGGTCGGGTTTCGTGGCTGGATGGAGGCAGTGGGGTGAGGGCTGATGGGGAACTTTTATCCGAGGGTCCCCTCTGGGCTAGTTTAGATGCCCCAATTTTCATCCTCTCTGTTTCCTTACAGCAGGCCTTAGGGACTAGCTGCTGTCTTTTCTTAAAATCTCATCATCTATTCTTTACCTTTCAGTTTGTCTTTCATTCCATTGGCTAGAGAATAGGATGTCATTTCCCCTTTGCCTGGGGTGACAATAGCACTGCTTTGTTACTATGATAACCTCCACAGGGAGGATACTTTGCTCTGTGCCTTGGGAGCTCTGTATATTGTTCCTGATTCCCTTTCAAGATGTTAATTGAAATCTCTTTTTACATATCTTTAATTTTATCACTGAATTTAAGTCTTTCCAAATTTACCCCCGTTCTGACATGTTTCATGAGGTCCTCTCTGAGGCCATCACCCTGTTGGCATCCACCCACTCGCTAAGGCCTCTCAGGACCTTGTCTTCTAATAAGACAATTGTATTTGGTCATATAAAGAGTCAGGTCTTCACTGGCACATGGTTGAAGCCCTAAATTTATGTTAAATCTGAGGTCATACCTGTTGTTAGAGTGATGCAATTATTAAGAGAATGGCAATGCATAGTCATGGTGCATTTGTCCCAGATCTCAATTTATAGACGAGATACATTATGCATTTTATTTATTTCATGGGAAGATTTTTTTCAGGAATAGTCACTGCCTGATTTCCCCAACTCAAACTCTTTTGATTAAGAAAATTAGTTACAAGACAAATGTAGAAGACTAATCATTTTCCAATTGATTGATATTTTGCAGTAGTAAATTTATTTTTATATCATTGTATTACATAAATGGTGACTCTGAAACCTACTTATGAGTTCTTTAATCTTGGAAGTTATTATTTATACATAAAAGTACAGAATGTTCACTCCAAGGTGTTGCATTTTCTCTTAATAATGTGGCTTCTGATACTTATACATGATTTTCTTGTGGCGTCTACTTGGGATCACACATGGGAAGGCATGACGCAATTGTTTGTTTTTGCTGTATCTGTCATGCGCAATAAAATATACCTGTACTTAAGAAAATAAAAAACTCATGTAGGCAGACTCTGCTCTCTAATTTTCTATTTTATTTTTTTTTACTGGAATAGCGGGTTCGTTGATATTTTAAATCATGTTTTAATAGTATAGCAGACTAGCCACCCTATAGGAGACGGACTGAGGCTCATACACTCCATATTCAGTCACAGTTCCTTGCCCAACAGAAAAGAAGGCAAAATAGTTGGCATAGTCTCTGTCTCTTATTTTGTTGTTGTTCCTCTCAGATATCAGGGCAGAAGTTCAGTGTGGATCCTGCCATTTTCTTCTCATAATGCTTATCAAAGTTCTCATTCATAGCCACAGTGAAATGGTTCTTCCAGTCTCCAGGCATCCCTGTAGGACATCAAAGAAGTTCATGACAGACTCTGCACCCATTCAACCTGACCTTTCTACAGTGAATGGTTCCTAAGCCTAACCACATGATTTTCCCATGAGTGAGGGTCCCTCAGTCCCACTCCACCTGGTCTTTCCACTATGAATGGTCCCTCATATCCACTCCACTTGGCTTTCTTACCACAAGGCACACAGCATCCTTATGTTCCTTCCTCAAATGCTGCAGGCCCCACTGAGGTGCCGCACTGTGCTGAATCTTCTGCTCCAGGGTACACTCCTGGCTCTAGTGCACCCAACCCAAAGTCTACAGCTCGTTACCATCATGGACTTCCTTGGGGACTTCCTATCTTCCTTTCCCAGGGACAGTGAAAGACCTTATAAGATGTCAGTAACCTCACTGGAGCGGATATTTCTTGTGGAGTAAAATTAAAGAGTAAAGGCACCAGAAGTGACATTTAGATATCAGTGATCTTCTGCAAATTGTTGTACCTTGTCAGCCCAACAAAAGCTGTACTAAATTATTCTAGTGCTTTATTTCTACTGGTTTATTTAAATTATTTCTCTAAATTATTTGTTTGTTTCTCTAAATTATTCTAGTGCTTTATTTCTACTGGTTTACTACCCTTTGAAAAGGTTAATCTGAAATGCTTGACCATAATATCAAATTCTAGATTCCAACTTCAACAAGTTAACCAGAATATTCAGGAATGGGGTCACTGTTTTTAAAGGTAATTTTGATACCATCGGGAGAACTGGTATTGGGGAATTCCTAGTATAGCCTCCATTTTACTTTCTTGTTTGTAATTTTTTTGCAGCTATTTCTTCATGTATCTAGAATGTTAGCTTGTTGAGGACAGAAACTGTTCATTCATCAGTACACTCACACAACAGACCTTTATTGAGTTATTTTGAGGTGTGAGTCTCTGTACTAGGTTCTAGTGGAAAAAACTGAACACAGCTCTCTCTTTGAGGCAGCTTGTTATCTTATCTTGGAGATAGACATGAATGCCAATAGTTACAAATCTGAGTACTAAGTGCTTAACTGGGGTTTTGAACAACAGGGAGAGACAAAAGATAAGAGTTCAAAGCTGCTCAGAGGATGCACAAGCCTTCAAGGGGGAGTTCATGGTTGAGCTGGGTATTCTAATCAAAGTGAACAGCACCATCAGCATCACCTGAGTACTTGAGAGAAAGGCAAATTTGAGGGCAACTCCTGGACCCACAGAATAAGTATCTTGGAGTGGAGATCAGCAATGAGAGCTTTAGCAAGACTTTCAGAGATTCTAATGTGACTAAAGTTTCAGAACCACTGACGTTGACTTTCAGCAAACAGGCAGTGTGAAGGGAGCAGAGATTCAAAATTTAACTGAAATGAGTCACTTCTTCCTGAAAATTAGGTTTAAAATTATCTTAGCTTACAGGGCAGAACATTTTTTAGAATTGAGCTAAGGAAAAGAAATGCCACCAACCTTTCCTCATGAATTTTGAGATAGAGTGATTGAATATGTGAGATGGTATCCCAGTGTGGTTGGCCATGGGATTATCCTTCATTACATCAAATGAGGTATGGTGGATGATCTTGTTTATAACGTCCTCTGACAAAGTTTTCTCCAAGAATTCCAACACCTTGTGGATCTCATGTTTTGGATTCTGACCATGGAAGAAAACAGCATTGTGAAGAGAGGGGAAAGAAGAAGAGCTCGGCCAATTAAAGCAACAGCTCGTTTAACAGAATAACGTTGTCAGGAGGGTTTCTGGGTCTGACCTATAAGTCTCAGTGCCACTTACTTTTTTTATATCCTCGTAGAAGAGGTAGAGGATCCGGTGCGTGTCTTTTGCAGCCCACCATCCTTTCACATGGTCAAACCAGGACCCATAGAAAACTGGAAGAAGACAAAGCACTGTTAGTTCCAATTACCGGGAGAAAACCCAAGGCTATAAAATAAATTAGCCCTGCTTTGAAATAATCTTCTGTAACTTTCATTCTGGTTAATTAATGAAGTGGAAGTAATTGTCTACTATACACTTTGTCTATATGGTGTAAAGCAGAGATTTATAGTACACATTTATTATACGTGACTTTGCACACACCGACTATGTCTTGTGACATGCCTTAAAACATTAGGCAATAAAGTACTTCCCCTGTTCCTGGTAAACAGTGTTTAGTTTCGGACTCAACTAGTTCAGGCCATCAGATATAGGGGTAGGATCCTCCTGCTGCTTTCTCTGTATCGCTGCGCTATGAAGTTTGTAAGTTCCTGTTCCGAAAGAGACACAGCAGCAGCAGAAAGAAAAGTGCCCTCGAGGACAACATCTATTTCCAGCTGAGACTGCGTCTACGTGGTAAACACGGGATGCATTTTCTTTCCACCAGTTGGTAAGAGAATGCATGCACACCTGAGTTAGCCAGCAGCATATTTTATCCCAGGATATTTTAGTTCCCTGATAGGTTGTAACTTTTGGCAGCTTCCTGGTTTGGTTCTGGGTAATCATTATAAACACAGGAATTATCTTTATTCAGTGTGAGCTATGTTGCAAGCATTGTGCTAAGTGGACGTGAAGGTTTGTCTGAAGGATGATGGAAAACATTCTCCAGAGGAAAATGACCACAGACCTAGTGAGCAAGTGTGTGAAATGCTCTCTTTTGAATCAGGACGAACAGCGATGTACATTTTCAGTGACTCGAGCCTTGGCATGTCTCATGGTGACTGGTATCTGTGTCAGCCAGGTTCTCCAGAGAAACAGAGCAATAGGCAAATCGAGAGGAGAATACATTATTCCTCCTGTATGCACAGGGGATATATCCCATAATTCCCAGCGCATGCCTGAAACCACAGGTACCACCAAGTTATAATAGTGTATATGTTTTTTCCTCTACACACATTTGTATGTTACTTTAATTTATATATTAGGCATTGTGAGTGAATTACAACAAAACTAATAATAAAACAGAGCTATTATAACAATATTCTGAAATATATTCACATCTATGTGAATGTACTCTCCCTCTCTCTACCCTTTTTTCTCTTGAAATTCTGTAATATTTTTGGATTGGGGTTGACTGTGGGTGACTGAAACTGTAGAAAGGGAAACTAAGTAAAAAGGAGACTCATCCATGTATATGTATGTATGTGTGTGTTTTATCTATGTGCATTATATATATGTGTACCTGTATAATTTATTTTAAGCAATGGTTTTATCCTATGTATACATAGTTAAATGTACATATATAATGTTAATTATGTATATGTGGTTTATTTAAAGGAATTGGCTCCTGCAATTGTGGGGCTTAGTGTGTTTGAAATCTGTAGGGGACGCTGGAAAGTCAGGCAAGATTTGATATAACAACCTTGAGGCAGAATTCTTTCTTTTGGAAACCTGAGTCTTTTTTCTCTTAAGACCTTCAACTGATTTCATAAGGAACACCCATATTATTAATATTTAACATTATCTCCTTTTCTTAAAGTCAACTGATTATAGATGTAAATCACAATTACAAAATTGATAGTTTCACAGAAACACCAGAATTGCTGTCTGTTGAAATAGGTAGGTGCCACAGTCCAGCCAAATTGACACAAAGAACAGTAAGACAACCCAGGCCTTGGGAAAAATCATATAAGAAAAGAAGCTTGGATCTCCTCTTCCTCTGCTTCCTTCTACTTTTCCGGCTCTCAAAACTTCTCTGCATAAACATTGGAAATCTATTCACCTGGGGTGCAATCTAGATTTGTTTTTTTCTTATTGACATCTGTCAGTCAATTTTATTTACGTAGAGAAAATGTTCTAATGAGGTTATTTCTCTTGATTGTCACTGGACAGACATGCTTGGTGAAAATTATTATTTATTGACTTTTCCACAGATACCTGTTTTTATTCAGGTCGTGTTTTGGAAGTCACTTCATTTTGATTCTTCTTTTCCCTCAAAAGAATATGAATGTTGTGGTCAGGACTGGTTATAATGAAGCTCAGGTCCCTGATACAGTTCCTCAAGGATAGTTAAGTTGCTCAAGGACTGGGAGCTCTTAGCGTTACAACTCAGCCATTTCACTTATGGAAGTTCTAATTATTTGAGAGACATTAATGAAATGGAGGCGACACCATGTAATTTTCATACATTTGTCTAGGTTCTGCTCACTGCAGTTACAATGCAATACTATAATCATGTTTCTGTATTAATGCTCATACAAACATGTAAAAGATGGTCCTTACATCCTAAATCACCTTATGTAGTCATCTTAGTCTTTCTTCTGTCTAGAGATTGCTGTTTCCATGAGACATTCTTCTTCTGTGAAGGGTTTGAGATCCTTGCCAATCTGATTTGACACCTGGTCAAATCCAGTCAATTGCTGTTTTGAAAAGTGTGTTCACTGGTTCTCTGGACGGTGTGATCTTGTTAGTAAGTGGATGAGGGGTCATGGCTGCTAATTCTAATGTGAAGTTTCTGCAGATGAACAGTTCTAAGATTGTTCACTATGATCTATGGGAAAGGCTCTCTGTGGCTGTGCGGTGTGTGACTTTTGTAACTATACATGGTCGCCTGGCAGTCCAATAACACTGCTAGATTAAACCGCAGGATATCATCTCATGCCTTCACACTGCCAGGTCTTTCCATAGGAAATGTTGCCTCTTCTTATTTTGAAGTTGATTGTTTGAATCTCAAGTCAAAGATTTTGGGCTTTTTACATTTATCTCAAATCTTATGACCCTAGTTGACCTCAATGTACATTTGTATTCTATTTTGGAAAAATACCTCTTCTGCCTGGCTTTTCCAGTCCCAGATCATCAAGATAGGACCTCGTCAATCAGGATGTCTTTTGTACCTCCAGTTTACAGAGGTGCTTATTGTTAGAGTCTCCTGAAAGAGGGTACCAAAAAACCAGTTTGCACTCACCTTTTCCTAATACGAATTTCTCATAAAATTCTTCTAAGTTCTGAGGATCAGGCAAATAGGAAGCCATCCTGTGAAAGTGGTAGTAAGACACCAGGCAATCCTTGGGATTTCTGGCCACATAGACAATCTGAAATCAAGGGGAGGGAAGGAAGCCAGTGAGAGAAAAACAGACTGAGGAGAAATAGTCTAAGCGAGTGTTTCAGTACCATGGTAACTTTCTCCTGTAAGTTCATAGCATTAGATAAATTAAAATGTTAAATAAAGGGAACCTTTTTGACTCTGCAACCCTGATAGCCATGGAAAACACTAAGACAAAGGAGAGTGCCCCACTTCAGAGTGGTTTTGACGAACCAAACAAGCAAAGCGTTCTCGGGCATTCAGGGAACAGGCCATGAAATGGTGAGTTTCAACTGTGTCTCAATTAATTGAAAGAAATTTTCCAGACTCCTACAACAGGGGAAAGACTAGAGAGTGAGAAAACATTTTTGTGTATGCCATCTCATTTGGCTCCTATTAGGGTTAGTGTTAGGTAAAGAGAGAACAGGTGTTATCTTTCAATAGAAGAAGTAAATGACCTTCGGAGAACTGGAGGGACTCCCACTAATTCCTGCTTAGTACATGAGTGGGTCAGGCCTGGTCACAATAATTGGGACACTGAGTCCAGAGCTAGTTCCTTGATATTTGTATGAGACTCACAGGGAGGAATGTTGCAGACAGTGGTTCTCAAAGATTAGAGTGTCTTTGCTGATATGTGTGTGTGTGTGTGTGTGTGTATGATATATTATATGTTACATAGGTTATACATATAACTATATATGTGTGTACACACAGACACACACACATATAACATTGTTAGGACAGAGGAGCATAGTAATGTGATGACTGGAAATTCAGTACTGTTCAGTCAGCAAATGCAGAACAGAGACGTTAACCCTTCCTATGTGCCAGACAATGTTTAACCTGACAGGTATTGGGTACAATCAAGTCCCCACCTGTCAGGAACTCACAGTCTGATCATTGATGTAAGAAGAGAGAAAATTATAATGTAATGTGTTGAACCAAATGATGAGGTAAACCCTTGCACAGATACAAAAATATAGATACATAGAACTCACCCAGCCATGGAGACAGAGAAGCATCCTATAGGAGGTCTCTATGAAAAGACCAGGAGAGCAAGAAGGAATTGTTCAAGTAAAGATGAGGAGATGCTTGAGTCTAATGGGAGCATGTGGAAGGTGTGGGGATGATCTGTGTGTGAAAGGACATGTAGGATTTCAGGAGGACTGTAGTGACGATCAGGGAATGGGAAGACACTGGGGAGGAGATGAAGCAAGGTGCAGACTGTCAAGGGCATTGAAGTCATATGGGGATATGGAGGCATCTTCATCCACCTGTGGAAGTGTTTATAGTAGGGAAATGCCTTAGTCACATTTGTGTTTTCAGAAGAATAGCGGTTATAGGGAGGAGGGGTTGGAGGGGGCAGGTCTAGAGACAGGCTGACAAAGTGGGAGAAGAGAGCAGTGAGCTGACTTGGGTACAGTTGGTAGTGATGCAGGGTAGTGCACAGATTACAGGATGGGAAGAATGAACTGGACTTTGTGACAGATCAGATATAGAGGTGAGGGGGATAAAAATGAAGACAGGTTTGAGCTTAGTCCACGGAGTAGATTATGGAGGCGTGGAAGCCTTAACAAGGAACAGATTCTATACTTCTGCTTCTGAGGCCAGAAGAGTATCTTCTAGTACTTTGGCAGAGCAAAGCAACATGGTTTTATTTTTCAATGTGTTTCCCTCCATTCTAGCTCCCGATCCACTCTCTGATTTGGAGCAACAGAGACTCAATTTTGGAAAACTTGACCAAGAATTTTTCATGAAATATATTTAGAGGGAGAAGAATTTTAGAAAACATGGACTTTTGCAGATTTCAAATTTACGTAATCCATGATACCAAGAACTTTGTCTAAGAAAAATAGCAAATTATATTTTGGAAAATGTATTTGGAAGCATATTATTTTGAAAAATACCTTCAGTTTTATAGTTTATATCCCCAAGTTAGGGGAAGTTTGAAATACCCACTCTTTTTACCTTGCAGTTTTCTTTCCAGATAGATGGTGGAATCAGATGTGAAGGGAGATGTGTTTTTATCAGTCGTGGTGAGGACATTTCAAGAGCAATCACCCAATCTAGCAAGAAACAATTTACATTCTTTATTTATTCTTGCCAATCTCCCAAAATACTTGACTTCCATTTGTATCTTAGTCTCAAGAGTGATTACATTTTGTTTTCTACTCATTGGAAAGAGTAATTGTTTTCCACAAGGACATACAACGCATTCAGTCCTGTCTAACCTTCTAGGAGACTTTTTCTTATTTCCTTATTCTCTCAGCTTTTAGACTTTCAGGAAAGCTCTTTCTTGCCCTCAAATTATTCTGGGAATGTTCATTGTATATCTGGTTGTTCTTTTCCTTTCTCTTCTTTCTCTCTCTTTTGTTTCTTAAAAATCACACCCATCCTTTTACAATAGGCTGCCATTCTTGGAAGATCTTTGAAATTAAATTTATTTCTTTTTTGTTTTCCTTTTTCTATATTTTTTATTATACTTTAAGTTCTAGGGTACATGTGCACAATGTGCAGGTTTGTTACATATGTATACATGTGCCATGTTGGTGTGCTGCACCCATTAACTCATCATTTACATTAGGTATATCTCCTAATGCTATCCCTCCTCCCTCCCCCTTTCCCACAACAGGACCCGGTGTGTGATGTTCCCCTTCCTGTGTCCAAGTGATCTCATTGTTCAATTCCCACCTATGAGTGAGAACACTGATGGTAGTTTCTTTTGCTGTGCAGAAGCTCTTTAGTTTAATTAGATCCCATTTGTCAATTTTGGCTTTTGTTGCTGTTGCTTTTGGTGTTTTAGACATGAAGTCCTTGCCCATGCCTATGTTCTGAATTGTATTACCATCAGAGTGAACAGGCAACCTACAGAATGGGAGAAAATTTTTGCAATCTACTCATCTGACAAAGGGCTAATATCCAGAACCTATAAAGAACTTAATCAAATTTACAAGAAAAAAAAACCCATCAAAAAGTGGGCAAAATATGTGAACAGACACTTCTCAAAAGAAATTAAATTTCTTTCTTAAACTAAAATTGGTTTAGTTTCTTTTCACTTTTTTTTTCCATGGGAAATATTAGCTGTCTATCCACAAACACATGTAAAGCATTTTTCTTTCTGAAAGCCTTCTAGGAGATCTTTCTTTATTTCATGTTACTCACCAGGTTTTACACTCTGAGGAAACCTTTTCAGCTCCCACAGTGAATTCTGCGAATGTCTATGGTGTATCCCCCCTACTTCTCCTCCTTTTTCGTCAGAAATCACACCTGTCCTTTTACAATAGCAGATTGCTGATTTCTGGCCTTTCCACTGATTCAAACATATGAAGGTGAATACAAAGGAGAGGGAGTGTTCTTTATTGTAAAATTGGGAAGGAGAAGTATGACAAATATAATGAAAATCTTATTGGGAAGCCAAAGGCCATCAGCTTAGAACAGGAGGGAGCCCTGAAGACCCAATCTAGGGTTTGACTCGTTGGCCTGTGAACAATTTCACCTTGTGAAAGATGCAGGCTACTTCTGGCTACCACGGAAGCTCTGTTGAAGACAGTACACATTGCTCTGGAATCTTGAAGTGAAAGTCCTTTCTATTTTGGTGCTTATTACTCACCTGGTTTTTCTTTATGGGGAAATTTCAGTTCAAGGAAAGGATATCTGTGTAGAGAATGGTCTCTTTTGCATTTCTCCACATCACCATCATTTTGAATCATGTCTAAGATTTCTTGCATCCAATGTGTCCCTGAAAATATTTGAAGTAGTTCTTTAATTTTAGTCAACTGATCTTTCATTCTAAGTTATTGAATATTTTGAAGAAAGGGAGCAACATGAGAGCACTTGGAAATTAGATCAATGTTGCCAAGGCAAAAAATGAAGCTGTTGTATTGCACTTTTATCTATCTATCTATCTATCTATCTATCTATCTATCTATCTATCTATCTATCTATCTGTCTGTCTATCTATCTATCTATCTATCATCTATCTCTCTGTGTATCTAAGTATCTATCTATGCATCTATGTATGTATGTATATATGTATATGTCTGTCTGTCTATCTCCTTTTTACTCTATAGTCTCTCAACTATCATGTTTGAGTGAACCATTTCTGCATTTCCTATATTATAACACTTCATGCCTAAAAATGCTGTATCTCCCAATATGACATTCTGTTATCATGGTTGCTAAATGTTTCTCATCACATCTAGTGTATTATAAATCCTTAATAACATGAGGTACTCAACCTATGTTAAAATTTTTGCCTCTATTTATGAGGTAGGTCTTCATATAAGGAACTTTCCCTCATAAATTAGGGAAGAACTACAATTCCTCTAAATTCTTTTGCTTAATTACTTCTTTTTAGCCTAAGAGAAGAATAATAGTTATCTTCAATCATAATACAGAAGTTTTTCTTTCTTTTTGTTTTTTTCATCATTATGGCATCATGTTTTTTAAAATAAACGTCAGTGTGGTAAAAATTACATAGAATAGAATGAACCTATTAGAAATGTATAGTTTAATGAAATTTGACAACTGTATGTAGCCATTACAAAAGTCGAGAGTAGAACCTTCTATTTCAGTTATTCCTTTCCCCACTTTTAACTCCACAAAACTGCTGATTTATTTTTTGTCAATATAAATTAGTTTTGTAAATTGTTGAATATCATATAAATGAAACCATACAGCATGTCCTCATATGTCTGAATTTTTCACACACCCTCATTATTTTGAGATTCCTTTATGTTCTTGTATATATCTGTTTTTCATTTCTTTTTATTACTGAGAACAGTTCAACTTTATGGATAAGCAATGATTTGTTTATTCATTTGTATGATAATAAAAATTTAGGTTTTCTTCAGTGCTGGGCTAGTTTTGAGTAAGTCTGCTATAATATTTGTGTACAGGTTTTTGGGTGAATATAGATTTTTATTTTGGGGGTAGGGGTGAATCTCTAGGACTGAAATTGCTGGGTTGTTTGTTAGGTGCATGTTTAATTTTATAAGAAACTGTTCAACATTAATACCACGTTACATCCTCCCCAACAGTGCATGGGAATTTCAGTTGCTCCGTGTCCTTATCGACACTTATTATTTTCAGGTTTTTAGCCATTTGAAGTGGTGTGTAGTGGTATTTCATTATAGTATTAATTCACATTTTTTCATCATAAGTGATGCTAAGTATCTTGTTTTGTGTTTATTGGTTAATACTGAACCTTTTTGGTGATACATTTTTACATCTTTGCCCACTTTAATAAATTTAGTTTTTTTGTTTTCTGTTCTAACAGTTCTTTATACCATCTGGCCAGATATATGTATTGTAAATATCTTCTCTCCATGTGTGTCACATATTTATTTATTTATTTATTTATTTATTTATTTTTATATTATACTTTAAGTTCTAGGGTACATGTGCACAATGTGCAGGTTTGTTACATATGTATACATGTGCCATGTTGGTGTGCTGCACCCATTAACTCGTCATTTACATTAGGTATATCTCCTAGTGCTATCCCTCCCCGCTCCCCACTCCCCACAATAGGCCCCGGTATGTGATGTTCCCCTTCCTGTGTCCAAGTGATCTGATCGTTCACTTCCCACATATGAGTGAGAACATGCGGTGTTTGGTTTTCTGTTCTGGTGATAGTTTGCTGAGAATGATGGTTTCTAGCTTCATCCATGTCCCTACAAAGGACACATACTCATCGTTTTTCTTGCCTGCATAGTATTCCATGGTGTATATGTGTCACATTTTCTTAATCCCTTCTGTCACTGGATATTTGGGTTGATTCCAAGTCTTTGCTCTTGTGAATAGTGCCGCAATAAACATACGTGTGCTTATGTCTTTATAGCAGCATAATTTTAATCCTTTGGGTATATACCCAGTAATGGGTTGGTGGGGTTAAATGGTATTTCTAGTTAGATCCTTGAGGAATCGCCACCGATTCCTCAAGGTTGGAAAACACCGTTTTCCACAATGGTTGAACTAGTTTACAGTCCTACCAACAGTGTAAAAGTGTTCCTATTTCTCCACATCCTCTCCAGCACCTGCTGTTTCCTGACTTTTTAATGATTGCCATTCTAACTGGTATGAGGTGGTATAACTGGGTCTTTAGAAGAACAGAAGTTTTCATTTTGAAGAAGTCTAATTTATATTGAACTTACATTAAATGCAAACCATAACGGTTAGTGCTTTCCATTTTTTCCCCAAATTATTGATGCCTAACCTAAAGTTTGAAGCTATTCTCCTATCTGTACTTCCATGGTTTTATAGATTTAATTTTAATATTTTGAGGTCTGATGCATTGCACTTTGACTTTTTTGCATGCCCCACCAAGTAAGGGTCAATTCTTTATGTCTATCCTTACAAAAATATCACAGTCTTTTGAATGCTGAAGCTGAGTTAAATGTCAGGAAATCAGCTCATGTAAACCCTACCACTGTGTTCTTCGTATCAAAAAATTGGCTTTTAATGACAATTACATTTTCATATATATAAAAAATATTGTAATCAATTCATCAGTTTCTGATTGAGATTGAATTTATAGATTAATTTAGAAACAGTTGATATCTTAAAAATATTAATTCTTTTGATCCATAGATATGGTATGCTTCCTTATTTATTTAAGACTTATACACCTTCTCCCTGTAAGTGTTTTCACTTTGAAATCATGCACAGCTTTGTTAAATTTACTTCTGAATATTTCATGTTTTCAGGTGCGATTTATTTTATCAATGGTAGTTTTAAAATGTCATGTTCAATTGTGTGTTGCTGGAATGTGGAAAGATAATAGAGTTTTGTATATTGACTATGTATCTTATTGTGACCTCACTAAATTTGCTTAGTAGGTTAAATGATTTTTTTATTAAGCTCCTTAGTATTTTAGAAATCTATGATGTTTCCATTACACTACTAAATAATGTGGATTTTTTTATAGATGTCCCTTATCAGGTAGAGAAAGTTCCCAATTTGAGCTTAATTTCCTCTACTTTTTAATCTTGTTATGTTGGAACTTTAAATTACTTATTGTAGATCTTTCGTATACCTACATACACTTCCACTATAAGTGTAAGTTATACTTACCTACATATATAACATGTATAAAATTCATTTAAAAAATCTTTCGTCAAGTGCTAATTTAACTGCTTCTCACAAATTGTAATAGGCTCTTTTTATTATCATTCCATTTATAGTATTTTCTACTATCCTTTATAGTGATATGTTATTTAGAATTATATTGTTTTATTTCTAAATATTTGTGCATATATTTCTGTTGTTGATTTCTAATTTAATTCTAATTGTATTCAAATAGCATGTTCTGTATAATTCCAACTATTTTAGATATATTTGAGAATTTTTGTTTAAATCCCATCCGATGGTTTGCAGTTGTAAACGTTTCATGTGCACTTGGAAAGAATGTGGGTTCTGGTACTGTTGAGTAGAGTAGTATTTTTTAGGGTTCTAAAAATATCTTTAGATCAAGCTTGCTGATAATATGGTTAAGGTCTTCAAAATTTCTACGTATCTTTTCTACTTATTCTAGAAATTACTGAATGAGAAGTATTGAAACTTTTATTTATAATTATGAATGTATCTATTTCTCCTTTTAATTTTCACATATTTGCTTTATGTATTTGGAAGTCCTGTTATTTAAGTATACACACATGCAGGAATATTTTGCCTTGATGAATTACCCTTTTCATCATTATGAAATGTTTCTCCTTATCCTTAGTAAAATACTTGTTCCCTTATGATATAGTTATTCTAGTTATGGTATATGTATTATTTGTAGGGTATATATTTTCCTATTCTTTTCCTTTCAACCTATCATGGTTTATGTGTAAAGTACACTCTAATTGGGGTCGTTTAAAATGTTTTATTTAATAAAATAGTAATCATTTATTCACCATTTTGCATTCTGTGGTTTCAGTTATCTGAGGCTAATTGTGGTCTGAAATCATAAAATGAAAAATTTCAGAAATTAACCATTCATACGTTTTAAGTTTCATGTTGATCTGAGTAGCATAATGAAATTTTGGGCCACCATCTCCATCCCTCCTGGGATGTGACTCATTCCTTTTCCTGGCTTCTATGCCACCTGTTCGTTAGTCGCTTAGTAGCTATCTAGTATATTAGATTGACTCTTGTGGTATTGTAGGGCTTGTGCTCTTGAGCAACCCTTATTTTACATAATAATGCCCCTAAAGTGCAAGAGTAGCGATGCTGCATTTTTTTTACAAAGATTATATTTTATTGTTATTTGTTGGTAATCTCTTAACATTTCTAATTTATAATTAAATTTCATCATAGATATGTATAACACATAGTGTATAAAATGGTACAATGTAATTTCAGGTATCAATGTGGATGTTGAAATTTGCCTTTTACAAATAATTGGGAACTATACTACAATTGTCTGTGTAATTGGCTGTAAATCTTCCGCCTTACTATTTATTTTCTATATTTCCACCTTTATTCCTTTGCTATTCTTCTCCTGCCTCTTTTGGATTGACTGCATTTTAGAATTCCATTTGCCATATCTGGTAATACCACTTGGTTTTGTTTTTCTAACAGGTACTCTAGGGTGTACGGTATGCATCTCTATCTTATCCTAGTCTATGTTTAACTAACATTATATTATTTCATGTGTTATGTGAAAACTTTACAACAGTATTTTTTATTCTTTCTTCTGTTCCAAGCCTTATTTCGGTCATACATTTGACTTGCACTTATGTTATAAACTCTGTAATATGTTATCCTTTAAGAAATTTAAGAATGAGAAAAATTGTCTGTTATATCCTCTCATGTTGTTATTATTTCTGACATTCCTTATTACTTTGTGTAACAGATCTATGTTTTCAGTACTATCATTTTCTGTTACACTGAAGAAATTTCAATATAACTTTTTATTTTTTTATTTTTAGTGCAGCTGTGCTGGCAACACATTCTCTCAGCTTTTGTCTTTCTCAGAAAAAGTCTTTATTTCACCTTTATTTTTCAGAAATATTTTAAAATGTTACTTTTACTGTGTCATTGGAGTTTCAGGTTGAAAAATTTGTGGTAACAAATTACTACAAGATGGGTTAGAAGTTGGGCTTAACATGGCTGGTCCTCTGTTTAGGGTCTCACTAGGCTAAAATCCAGGTATCAGCCAGGGCTGTCATTCTCATCTGGGACTTCAGAGTATTTTGCCAAGCTCCTAGATGCCAAGAGATTTCAGTTGCTTGTGGCTGTAGTATTGAGATAACTGTTTCATCGGTACTGTGTCTTTTCATCTTTAAGTCTCTAATCATGCAGTGAACTTTTATTATACTTTAATTTTCTCAGACTTTCCCCTCTAACACATCACTCTGACTTCCTCTTTTTCTTTGAAGAGCTCACGTGATTCCACTGGGTCCATCCAGATAGTCCAAGAAAATCTCCCTATTTAAATATCAGCTGATTAGTTACTTTAATAGCAGCTGCAAAATCCCTTTGGGAATGTAATATGAATAACTGCAGAAGTAATAACAGAGGGCTAATGTCATGGGGATCAAAATTCTGCCCATCGTGTCCTGATTGGAGCACAAATGTCTCTCACCCTTGTATAATCTCTAGGGATTATATGACTAATAGATTTCTGGTAGCTCCTTGACTGATCTCATGGAGCTGGGCTCTATGCAAGTGCCATCTACCATTCAACAATAGACTCAAAGGGTCCTCTCTAAAGATATCTAAAGGTGTTTATTTGTGTAGTTCATTCTCTCTGGTACTCATACCTGCCAATAGCAGCCACTTCAATCTCTCAGAACTCCTATATCTGGCTCTTGAACTCAATGAGTTTGTTATGACTTTTTCTTTTGCTCCCTAAAACTAAACCCTGTTCAGAAAGCATCTTCAGTCTGAAGATGGAGACAACTGAAATCCAATGAGAGAAACCAGTGGTTTCATATATTTTATCCAGGACTGTTTTTTATTATGGTTAAAGGACACATCCAATCTTGTCCCTTCAGCATGGCTGACCAGGAGGATTTTATTTAATGTTCTCCCAGTCAGTTAGAGATTATTCTTTTTGATGCTCAAACTGTCCCAGATGTTGTTATTGTGAGCCCTTTCACATTGGTTCTTTTATGCTTCTACATGTCCCCATTAATTTTTTTTCTGGTTATTATATGTGCTTTATTTTCACAGATACTTAATAAAAACAAACAGTTCTGGGAATGTATACTGTTCATTTACTCCTTCAAAAAGAAGATGGAGAACATTCACCTTTCATATTCTGTTCCCAAGAGTGGGATCATCAATTCTTCTAATATCTGCGATTCCTTTTAATGGAGAACGGCCTATCAGAAGTGAGTTCTGGGCATTAGGTGTGCCTATTGTTCCTAGGATGTATTCCAGTCTAGGAATTTTTAGAGAAGAATTAGAAATTCTAAGGCATTTTAAATCAAAGTCAATCATTGAGGTTTTCTGAATGCCACTTATCTGGTACAGAGCAGAAAATTCATGACTGACATCCTCCAAGAACTTTAGAGAATTAGAAAATCAATTTGTGTTTAATATCTGGGATAATAGATTAACACTTAACAGTATGACATGTTTTTAGAAGGCAGCCTTTAGGTTTAGAAAAGTCATATGTCTTTCTATTTATTGACCTTATATTTGATGTATGTTATGGGTTCTGGAATGGGAGCATTATCTGACCTACTCCCAAGGCATTTAGAAATCTTTTCTGTTCTCTTCAGAGAGTGCTATTGGAAATTGTTGCCCTAGGGATCAGGAATGCTAAATGTCCTGCAACACTAAAGAACAGATATCCATAATGAGGAATTTTTTCTCTCCAAATCCCAACCATGCTTCATTAGTCAATAAGATTATGCAAACAATTTTTGTGAAAATATTGAATATTTGTATGTTTTGATACCCTTACCTGACTTTGGGTAAGTTGCCAGAATAAGATCATCAGGCTTGGCTTGGAAATTACAGATTTGATCCCACAATTCTTTGGTTAATTCCGGCAAAGGGACTTCATCTACTTCCCAGATGCTAAATAGTTTTAGCTCTTTTTCCATCGTGGGAGCATTTTTCTCAATCATGGCCATTGGGAATCTGCGAAGGGTATGATCAATACTAATTAAAATTTTTAAAAATTTTGTTTTATGGCTTATAGTATGGGCTATTGTCTTACTGCCGTTGATTAGAATAATATAAAATAAATGAAAGCTAACATATAACATGCTAACAAGTGACTGTATGTACCTTAATTATTTAATCTTCATAGCAACCACATAAAATAGGTAATATTTCCTCCATTTTCTTGATGTGGAAACTTGAGTAATTGTAAGTTTAATTAATTTGACAGAAGTAAAATAATCAATACCTCTTGGGGCTGAGATTTATACCCGTATAGTCTTCTTTCTACTGCATGACCTAACAACCACATTACCTGTTAATAGGGAATATAATGGCTTATGTGTCACATATTGCTTCATCATCTTCAAGATATTATTTTGTACAGTTAGAAGTGAGACCATTACATTGAAGAAAATTCAAAACAATGCTTTTAAGGTACATTCTATACTCAATTTGCTTGAATAGTTTTCACAGGGAAAATCTTCATAAAACAGTTTTATATAAAGATTTTTTTCAATCACTGAATCATTTTTGAAATTTTAGGCTTCTGTTACAGCATAAAAAACTCTCATGCCCAAAAACTCTCATGTCTATTAACTCTGGAAACTTGGAATTACGTTCAGGTATGATATGGTTTGTCTGTGTCCCCAAACAAATCTCATCTTGAATTCCCATGTGTTGTGGGAGGGACCCAGTGGGAGATAACGGGATTGTGGTGTCTGGTCTTTCCCAAGGAGTTCTCACGCTGGTGGACAGGTCTTATGAGATCTGATGGCTCTATAAGGGGGAGTTTCCCTGCACAACCTCTTTTTTCCTTTGCCTGCTGCCATTCATATAAGATGAGACTTTCTCCTCCTTGCCTTCTGCCATGAATGTGAGGCTTCCCCAGCCACATGGAACTTTAAGTCTGTTAAACCTCTTTATTTTTTAAATTGCCCAGTCTCGGGTATGTCTTTATCAGTCACATGAAAAGGGACTAATACAATAAATTTGTAGTAGTAGAGTGGGATGTTACTGTAGATACCTGAAAATGTAAAATTGATTTTGGAACTGAGTAACAGGCAAAGGTTGGAATACTTTGGAGGGTCAGAAGAAGATGGGAAAATGTGAGAAAGCTTAGAACTCCATAAAGACTTGTTGAATGACCCTTACAAAAATGCCAATTATGATATGGACAATGAAATTCAGGTTGATGTGGTCTCAGATGGAGATGAGAATCTTCTTGGGAACTGAAGTAAAAGTCACTCTTGCTATGTTTTAGCAAAGAGAATGGTGACATTTTACCCCTGCCCTAAAAATCTGTGGAACTTTGAACATAGAGAGATGATTTAGGGTATGTGGTGGGATAAATTTCTAAGCATCAAAGAATTCCAGAAGTGACTTGGGTGCTGTAAAAGGCATTCAGTTTTATAAGGAGAGCAGATCATAAAAGTTTGGAAAATTTGCAGCCTGACAATGCAATAGAAAATAATATCTTATTTTGTGGGGAGAAATTCAAGCCAGCTGCAGATATTTGCATAAGTAATGAGGAGCTGAATTAATCACCAAGACAATGAGAAAAATGTCTCCAGGGCACATCAGAAGTCTTCATGGCAGCACCTGTCATCACAAGCCTGGAGGCCTGGGAGGAAAAAATGGTTTGTGGACTGGTCCCAGGGTCCACATGTTGTTTGCAACCTAGGGTCTTGGTGCCCTGCTTCCCAGCCAGTCCAGGCATGGCTGAAAAGATCCAACACAGAGCTTGGGTCATGGCTTCAGCGGGTGCTTTGGAAGTTTCCACACGGTGTTGATCCTTTGGATGCACAGAAGTCAACAACTAAGGTTTGGGAACCTCTGCCTGGATTTCAGAAGATGTATAGAAACACTTGGATACCCAGGCAGAAATTTGCTGCAGGTGTGGGGCCCTCATGGAGAACCAGTGCTAGAGCAGTGAGAAGGGAAATGTGGGATCAGAACCATCACACAGACCACTGGGGCACTACGTAGTGGAGCTGTGAGAAGAGGGCCACCAGTATTCTCCAGACCCAGGAATGGTAGATCCTTTGACACCTTGCACTGTGCACCTGGAAAAGCTGTAGACACTCAAGGCCAGCCCATGAAAGCAGTCAGGAGGGAGGCTGTACCCTGTAAAGTCACAGGGTTGGAGCTGCCCAAGACAATGGGAACCTACCTCTTGCATCAGTGTGACCTGGATGTGAGACATAGAGTCAAAGGAGATCATTTTGGAGCTTTAAGATATGACTGCCCCACTGGATTTAGGGCTTGCATGGGGCCTGCAGCCCCTTTGTTTTGGCCAATTTCTCCCATTTGGAATGGGTGTATTTAATCAATGCCTATACCTACATTGTATCTAGGAAGTAATTAACCTGCTTTTCATTTTACAGGATCATAGGTGAAAGGGACTTGCCTTCTTTCAGATGACAATTTAGATTGTGGACTTTTGAGTTAATACTGAAATGACTTAAGACTTTGGGGGACTATTGGGAAGGCATGACTGGTTTTGAAATGTGAGGACATGAGATTGGGTAGAATGATATGGTTTAGCTGTGTCCCTACACAAATCCCATTTTGAATTTCCACGTGCTGTGGGAGAGACCTGGTGTAAGGTAACTGCATCATGTGGGCAGGTTTTCGCTTGGAATTCTTGTGGTGGTGGGTGGGTGTAACTAGATCTGATGGATTATAAGAGGGAGTTCTCGTATACAACCTCTTTTTCTCTTTGCTTGCTGCCATCCATATAAGACAAGGCTTGCTCCTTCTTGCCTTCTGCCATGATCGTGAGGCTTCCCCAGTCACCTGGGACTGTAAGTTGATGTTAAACCTCTTTCTCTTGTAATTTGCTCAGTCTCGGGTATGTCTTTATCAGAAGCATGAAAGTGGAGTAATACAGTAAATATGTGGAACATTTAATCTTGCTGTACACGTTGAGGTTCTTTGTCCGATTTGGAAGGAAACGAAATCCTTTCAGGATCAGATGTATATTAGTTTGGAGAAAAGAAGTTATGCATTGAGATTAAAGAAGTATTTAGGGTGAGAGTGACATTTATTAATGCAAAAATTCATAAACTGTCATTGTACTATACCTGTAATGTAGTTGACTTTGAACAAATGATAATCCCCCATTCTTGATTGTGAGAGAAAATAAAAAAAATATGTCAAAATATCCGGAGGAATGTATTTCTATAGTTTGTTAATCAGTGTTCCGAAAGAAGTAGATTCCATGGGGACATGAACTTGAGAGCTTTCTGAGAAACAGTGAAACAGGCTTCCTTCCTGCAGAATGTCTTGGATCATTAAATTCATCAGTGGTGATTTTGAATCCTTAGAAAAAGAATGTAGTTGGTACCACTTTCAAGTGCTGTAAGTCTTTTATTTTTTAAAAGTAGAGTTTTCATAGTATTTGAATTATTGAAAACACACTGTGGGTAATTCTGACCATGTGAATATGTAAAAGCAATGGGTGACTGCCATCCTGAGGTGGCCTCCTGGCCTCATACTCAGCCAACCTTTCGTCTTGTATCCAATCCAAGGAAATTTGCATAATTTCACTTATTTTGTGCACCAGAATCAGGTGGAATGACCTGTTATAGGTTTCAATTCAAGGTGCAAAGTGTCTTTCCATGAATGTGGTGTTTGCGATGCTTAATCATTTTTGGAAGCAGAACCAAGTGTCCGTTTTGCTTAATTTCCCAAGTTGGGATGCAAAATAATAATAAAAAAAATGTTCTTTCCACCATTACACTAGGAACTCTCCTTCATCAAGCATAAGGCTTAATCCACCAGGGAATATACATTAAGCAGAACAAAGAGAATGTATGCAGCCTACTTGTGCTCGGAGTCCTGGAAGTTTGGGTTCCTGCCTGTGTCCCATGTTTACAGTCCTGCCCAGGTGGTCTCATTCGCAGGCAGGACATGCTGTGGAAGCATCTTTGACCAGATGCTTAAGATTACCCATCAATGCTCCTTCAGTATCACGGACAATGTGTACCTGCTCACATGGGCAATCTTGTGAAGCAATTTGTTGCTTGAATAATGGCTATCGTTTAGGATAATATAATAGTAAAACACATGAAGGTCTTCTACTTGGACATTTATTTTATAGGATTTCCTGAGAGCCAGGGAATCCTTGTTCAAAAAGTTTTTGGAAGATGTGGACTTTCCCAAATCCTAGTTCTCCTATCAACATAGATCGTGATTCCTTGATTATTGTTGGTTAGCAGGTTTGGGCTCCATCAATTAATTTAAACATTTGAACTAATTCAATGTATGTGAGAAGTTTAAATTTCAAAGGTTAATTGAAATTTGTGACAGCATAGCCAGTTTGGAAATTTTTGGAGTTGACTTTTTTTAAAGTAAATATCACAAGGCAAACTAAGTAACCACTGGATTCCTCTTCAGGCAAAGAATGAAGTTTGCTTGGTTATAATGTTACTGAAATGAACAATAAGATTAATACTTTGGGCCTTGGGTAAAATAATATATCAAAGGAGGTTAGATCGCCAGCTCAAATTTGGTAACTATTTTTTTGTCAAGAGAAAAGTCTTTTGAGGAGTCTAATAGAAGATATTAGTCACTGAAAATGTGATTGTAAAAGAAACAAGGGAATAATTAGATGAGTGTCTGGAATTTAGTTAACAGCAGTATTAAAGCTAAACAAATTGGGCATTAGAGTTGCCTGAAAGAGTAAATTTTATATATCATTAGGATATATCAACCCTTTTGAGGACACCAAAAAAAAAAAAATATATATACACACACACACACACACACATACACATATTATTATTTACAACCATGTGGTTATTTTCTAAGAAAGAGATCCAATACATTAGTAAAATATTTTAATTTATCCTCATTTCATAAAATGAAAATCGATTAGACCCAATAGTGCGTTTACTTTTGAAGTAACTTTTTTTCCTGTTGATATCAGCTAATTAATTATAATATTTTAAAGTCAATGGCATAAAGA